AAATTACAATTGAGAAAATTTGAGAAGATCAATACACTCAACTTGGAGCATTAATTAAATGGAGCAAGTCTAAATATGATGGGGCAGTCAAGTAGTCAAAGAATTCAAAGTGAACAATATTTGTTTGTCCTTTAAGCGATGTGAATGCACTTCAGTTTTTTTTTTTTTTTTAATCAAAGTCAATAATAGCTTGCAATTAACAAGGTAATATGATATTTGAGAAATTCTTGGATGATGTGAACTTGGTGCACCATATCATCCATAATCTATATAATAAAAACATGATACTCAATTGGCATGCAATAGAAATTGTTGTTGATATTAATGATAATAAAAAAAAATGTAAGAAATTAAATAGGTATTTTATTATAAAGTTAAAATAATTTAAAATAATAATATAAAATTTTATTTGATTGAATTGATGTAATTTTATTGAATAAATTATGAATGACATGATACATCATGTCCATTAAAAAATTTCTTATGATATCTATAAAACTAAGAAGTATGAAAGAGACAAGCATGCAAATAAAAGATTTGCATGAATAATCGATACATTATGAAGAAGAATAGATGTATAATGTAAATTAATACACGTAACATGCCAACATGTAAACAACATAACAATTGTTGATTGAAGTACCTATGTATGAACAAAGATAGCAAATTAACTCTGCCTTTTGTTTGGAATGGGAAGAAAATTTTAAAAAAAAATATGGTGAAAAGTAAAATTAAAGGGACCTTTTTCTTCCCTGGCATAAAGTCTTCCCTTTAGTTTTCCTCGTCTGTAGGGAGAAATCAGAGAAAAGGGAAAAATAATGATGAAAAAAGTTTTTTTTTTTCATCTTGTTTTCTATTATAATTTTCTCTTTTCTATTTTCCTTTTTCTCATTATAGCCAAGGCCTGCAAGTAAAAAATGGAGATGTTCATACATGGAAGATCTATGGTTAATTTTCGGATTAGCCTAAGCCCATCAAGTTTTTTTGGCTTTTGGAAAAAAAAAAAACAAGAAGTCTGAGTCAGTAATGATCTTATTAAACATCATCAATTGTAATTCTATTTAGCATGGTCGAGAAAATTACTTGAATATAGGGCAATGATTGTAGACAACGAGGTTAGATAAAAATAAATCTCCATATGATTTTCTCTCCCACTTTTATTTGTAATTATACGTACTGGTGTTTAATGTTGTCAACCAGCTAGCATCCGCGAGTTGTTTCACCCTGCCAGGTGACATTTTTCACCCATAAATATAATCGACAAATATTAGTGTGTTATAATAAGTAAATGAAATGAAATTAAATCATGTGAAAACTTATCATTCATTACATTAAATTTTTTTTTGGTGATTTCAAGGACAAATACAGGTTATAAAAAAAAAGACAAATATGGTTAAAGTAAATTATGATTGATATGCAGTGAAAGATTGATATGATATCCCATGGGAGTAGACATCATCAACATCATCGTCATCGTCAGAGATCATTGTTGCCTCCCTAGATGCCGAAGCACGATCAGCTTTAAAAGTTAATTAAAACCTGGTATCTATTTTTTTTTTTAATTCTATTTTGTTTAGTGTCCGGACTCCGGAAAAACCTGTCAGGAACAAATAAAAATTTGCACATCAATTCAAGCTCAGATAAGGCCCAGGCCCAAATTTTAAAAGTGACAGCCATTTTAAACGTAAACTTGATAAACAAGCGTCCAAAGATGAATCCAATGTCATCTCATTTTGAAATTTCTAAAACTATTTGCAAGGGGGTTTAAAATCTTTTTCTTATTTTGGACAAAAAAAGTTAGAAAATAAAAAGACATACGAATTTGAATAAACAAAGTAACAAGAAATCTAATTTTATTTTTATAGTATTTATTAATTTAATGACAATTGATGAATGATTGTTGATGATTATTAATATATTGATTGATGATAAGGGTTATTCATGATATTCCACTTATCAGCTGCTATAATGATTTAGAGTCAATGTTTGCGTTAAACGTGTGATGTCCTTGACTTCTTGGCATTCACATGGAGTTAAGTGAATAAAAAACGAAACGAAAAATGATTGTAAATGAAAAGTATTTTTTATTTTTTAATATATCCGAATGGGCAATACTAATAAAAGGTAATTTTAAATGAAAATAAAATATTCCCCCTTGTTATATATCGAACTGACTAATTTGTTAAGAACAAAAATGAACTCTTTGTCAGATAATTTTGCATACTTACAGTATTATTCCACTGTTAGCCAGCAATATTCAGAAACTTCTCTCATGTACGATTGATATATGTAAAAAATATAATAATTAGTTTGAGTTAAAAAAAGAAAGAAAGATATATATTATTAAAATGTAAGCACTTTGGAGAGCAAGTAAAATGTATTTCTTCCTCTCCCAGAAATGAGCATTTAGTTTGAGCAATGGATAACATTTTGGACAGCTCCTCTATTTAGTATAAATAGGTATATCTTGGTAAAGCATTAATTGCAAGGGACTGGCAACACGAAAACCAAGTGTGGCGCAGGGTTCACTCCACGGGAGAACGCAATTTTAATCTTTTAAGCCACTGCCTTCGCTTTGACTGGTTAGACAAATTGAACTCGTGTAACTTCCTCATCAACAAAGTAAAGATGGTGTTCTTTTTTGAAAACTTTTTTTTAATGACAATTTTTTCATTAAATTTGCTTATAAGATTACAGAGATTTATAAAAACTAAAATCACTTTAATATTTAGTCTAAAATTTGAAAATGACCCACATGAAAAAAAAAAAAATTGGAAGGCTATTTGGGATTACCTCCAAACCAACCACAGATATGCTATTGGAAATGCTCCCCAACATCATACTTGCCTTTTTGTTTGAAACTCTACTTATTCTTCTATTCATATTTTACGAGATTATAAAAAAACTTAAAAGGTTTAGAAAAAATTGATTAACCTTGCAAAAATTAATTTTTTTCTCTTTTGGTATGCAAAATTGAATAATTTGAAATGCCAGGAATGAAATAAATAGTTTGAGAACAAAAAGAAAACCCCACCTAAGACTTTTTGCCTAAGTCTATTGGAACATTTGAAAAGCTAGATATAAAAAAATATACTATGAAAATGAGATCTTGGATAGCGATATTACCTTCTTTGGCACTTAACAAATAATCAATGGTTTGAAGCTTCTATCAAAAATTAATCACTTGAGCAAAAGAGATACTAGATATGATTTTAAATTGAACTCTCTTGAACTTGGATGGGCTAGACTTGATATTAACAATTTTGTCAACATTAATAGTGCCGTTGTCCGTGAAGACATCATTAAAGAGGATAAGGGAGATTGGATTAAAGTATTTTTTAAATATTTTGGCTAACACTCTAGCACAACAGTCGATATCATGTGAATTTTTAAAGGACTTAACCTTTGCTAGAATATGAAATTATGCAAAATTAATATTTATTTAGATTCGATAGAGGCCTTATCAATCATTGATTTCACCTATTATGAAAGCCATCCACTATATGAAATTATGAGGAAGATCAAAGATCTCACTGTGAGGGACTTGATGGTTACTTTTAATCATATTTACAAAGAAACAAATAAATACATCGATCTTTAAATTCACAAGATATCATATGATAATTTTGATGCATATTTTTCAATAACTCGCCTCCAAATTATAAAAACTTTTTAGTTTTAAAGATGACTAAATTTTAATTTCTTTGCATACTTTATTATAGCCTTGTATTAAAAAAAATACGAAGCGAAGAAGAGGTAGAGAAGGTAGAAAGCTAATATTATGGTGTACTTTATAATTTGAGTTTAAAATGAAATTTTTCATTTATTTAAATTGCTCTTCTCATTTTTTTTAAATATTTGGAGTCTTTTCTTTTTTTAATTAAAAAATTTAGGCGAGTTGAGTGTTCTAGGTATTTTTTATTCATAATCTAAAACATATATTCTCTCTGTTAAAAAATGTAAGGTATTTTTAATCAAATATCACCCCAATAAAGTTTTTATTTACTTTTAAACTAACTCTATCTTTTTATGTTTATTCCTATTAACTGCCCTATAATAATTATAAAGTCACCATCAATAAGGTCACGTTTGAAAAAAGGATAATGATTATATCTTAAAAAATTTAAAATGTCTTATGTTTTTAAATATTCAATTCCTTAAAAAATAGTTATTATATGAAATTATGAGGAAGATCAAAGATCTCACTGTGAGGGACTTGATGATTACTTTTAATCATATTTACAAAAAAATAAATAAATACATCCATCTTTAAATTCACAAGATATCATATGATAATTTTGATGCATATTTTTTAATAACTCGCCTCCAGATTATAAAAACTTTTTAGTTTTAAAGATGACTAAATTTTAATTTCTTTGCATACTTTATTATAGCCTTGTATTAAAAAAAATACGAAGCGAAGCAGAGGTAGAGAAGGTAGAAAGCTAATATTATGGTGTACTTTATAATTTGAGTTTAAAATAAAATTTTTCATTTATTTAAATTGCTCTTCTCATTTTTTTTAAATATTTGGAGTATTTTCTTTTTTTAATTAAAAAATTTAGGCGAGATGAGTGTTCTAGGTATTTTCTATTCATAATCTAAAACATATACTCTCTCTATTAAAAAATATAAGACATTTTTAATTGAATATTATCCCAATAAAGTTTTTATTTACTTTTAAACTAACCCTATCATTTTATATTTATTTTTATTAACTTCTCTATAATAACTATAAAGTCACCATCAATAGGAGCACGTTTGAAAAAAGACAATGATTATATCTCAAAAGATTAAAAATATTTTATATTTTTAAATATTCAATTTTTTAAAAAATAATTTATATTTTTAAATGAAGGGAGCACGTTGTTTTCATTTTTTTTCCAACATGTTTTTACTTTTCATTGAAATTAATTATTAAATTTTTAAATTACTTTGAATATGAATAAGTTTTGAGTTATGATCTATATTTGCCCCGGCATGTAATTTTTTCCAGTATATTTTTTTGCACCAGGCTGCGTTAGGGTTGATCTTTCCTCCTGGCCGCAGCCGCACGCAATCTCTCACACACTCTCGGTTGAGCTGCCATTTCTTCTGGTCTCCCTCTATCTGCAGCTCCTAGCGGCAAATTCACCTCATCGGCTCACGGTTTTAGGCGCTGCTTTCCGGTTTCTGATCTGTCAAACCGTCGTCATAGGTGTACTCGATCTCGGTGGCCGTCGGTTCTCTTTCTCGGTTGTTATCTTTCAAAGTCACCACCAAGGAGTATTTGGAGCTCCTGTATCTTTCAGGTTTCATCTCTATTTCTTTCCCTTCTGCTAAGGTTATCCTCATGCCTTCCCTTTGGCTCTATAGATGTACTGGTTGAATAATTCTTATGGCTGTAGTTACGCGAAATTTAAATTAGCTGGACTTCTGGAGGATTTTTTTTTGCCCAATCATTAGAAGTCTCCTGCATGGCTGCCATCAGTTAATTGATGGGCGTGTTTGATTTAATTCGTTTCTAAGGTATTGCATGCTTTGAAAAGGGTCAATCATTAAGGGGAATGATCGTCTGATGCTCAGTCCCCCCCCCCCCAAAAAAATTTCATTGCTTTATAGAAGGAGTATGGCACACACGCTTAAGTTTCTGCAAACTTTACCGGTTGCCATCTTTGGCTCGAGCAGGATTTGGCCTTAAATGATATGTTTTTCAATTTTTATAAACTGGCTGCTCAAATGATGACGCTACATATTCAATGGATTAGTACAAAATAAAATCTTGCTCATTTTCCAAATGCAGATAGGGCTTATTGGCCACATACATTAGAGTGGATTAATGAGAATAGGTCTTGCTATTACTGTTAGTGGATCTCGTTTCATTTAATCAAAAGATTGTTTTGCGTCATTTTTTGATATTTTACGTTTTCATTCTCATTCTCCTGGATTATGTGGTTCCCTCTGCCCGGCTTAAGGGGCTTTTCCCACTTTATAAAAGTTGATCCATCTTCTTTCCAGTAATATACTTCCTGGCATAAAATATATAGTTGTCAGAGTTATTTAACTAAGAATGCTATAGGCAGTGAAAACTCAAAATAACATACGTTTTGAACTTTTTTGTGATGTTTGTCATGGTAATAGTTCAAAGACATGTTTCAGGCATAATAGGTTACAACTAGTAAATAGATTATATGGTGGTGCAAGAGAGATTTGTTAAAAATTGGTTGTAGTGTTTTGCTGGATGGGTGAGTGATGGCTATGGAACTAAAGGATGTGGAAGATGAATGAAAAGGGGATTATCATCATGCAGAGAGATTGGTATATATGGAACTTAACGTATGGATCATTTTTTAGTTTTGCAATGACTGTTTTTAATGATAGGAAACTGCCTTATTGAATATTGGTTATCATAGTGATTGTATCAAAAGTTTGAAGTAATTAACTAGCTGGACAATAAAGTGCTATGCTAAAAGTTGTTGAAAATTGACATTACATACGTGAATGATTTGTATAGTATAGTTGCAGTGATTTTTGGATGTCTGGTTTTATCTTCTATGGTCATAACTTGTACCTGAAGTTCATGCATAGCATTGTTGAAAAAATTCTATTCCCTTGTCACATATTCATGCGTAAGTTCTCACACAATTTCTGTCTTGTGATCTTGACGTGCAGGAAACCTACTGAATTGCCGAGCATATATTGATTTTATTATTCAGTTAAGCCAGCCAAAATGTCGCGGAAGGGTTTAATGGAGCAGGACCTGAGTAAACTGGATGTGACAAAGTTGCATCCACTCTCTCCTGAAGTTATCTCTCGTCAGGCTACCATTAATATTGGTAGTATTGTTATTCAATTTAGTTTGGTTCATTTACATTAGAATTGTCATAACCATCGGTGATCTGAGAGAAATGACTAGGACACTTACTTTAGTTGTCCATGAGAGGAAAATTTGGATAAAAGAACTAGGGAAAATGATAAGTAAGGACCTTGTAAGAACATTAACCCAAATCAGGAACTTTAGCATTGAAACATGCTAAAAGTAGTATCGAAATTTGGGAACGTCAGTGTTGAAAAATCCTAATTTGACATCAATATTATTACAAGGTCCTTTTTTGTCATTCTCGCAAAGAACTAATTTAATGCTACCAATTAATTAATTGCCTTTTCTCTGTTCTTTTTCCCCTAAGTTGATGAACAATATTGTTTTGTATCCTGGCAGGTACCATAGGCCATGTGGCACATGGCAAGTCAACAGTTGTAAAAGCAATATCGGGTGTCCAGGTAGTCCTCTCTCTCTCTCTCTCTCACACACATGCACACACACATACACACACCCCTTTTCTGTCTTTGAGCGGGGTTTGGAGGATAGGAAGCTGATGTACGACTATATGTCACATTAACTACTGGTAGCATGTGTTGTTATGGGTTATCCTCACTCTATAATTTGCTATTTGCAAGTATGACTAGTCCACTGGAAAGATTACAATATTAGCATCACGAAACATTACTCTGACTCAGGTGGCTGGTAAATATCACATTAAAAAAAAATTCCTTGGAGAAATAAGAGAGTAAGGACAGAAATGACCATGAAAATTTTTGTTACTATTCCCTATTCCTATGTCTATTTGATTGCAGATGAAAATTTCTATTGATGATCGTTTTGATTTTTTAGAAGAACAAAAAAGTTTCTAGTTGCTGGTTGGTTATGTTAATGATGACTAAATTTATTTTTTTAAAAAAGTTGTTACTTTCTGAGCATATGTCGTTTGCTTCAAAGCATGCTAGAAAATTAGTTAAGAATCAATAGTTAATTCTTCATTCAAGTGCACCAGATGAGTTCATGTAATTAGAAGTGACTATTTTGTCTTTGATAGTTTGATATATCTCACTCCTCTAAGGCTCACTTTATACACCATATTTTTTCTTTTTTGTGTAATCATGAAAGAATTGGTCAGTTCATGATGGTTTTAGCATGTGGTCTTTCTTTCTTTGTTCTTTTTACAAAGTAAATTTCATTGCATTTGATACCTCTCTGCATCATGAGCTACAGGGGAAAAGGAATTGGTACTGTGGTGTCGGATTATATCACTTGTATTTATTCCTTGAGTTATTTAATTCTAAACTCTATGCCTTGGGTTTTCATGTGCATGCAGACTGTTCGTTTTAAAAACGAGTTGGAGCGTAATATTACAATCAAGCTTGGTTATGCAAATGCGAAGATATATAAATGTGAAGATGAAAGGTGTCCCAGGCCTATGTGCTACAAGTGGGTATATTTGCAAATGCCATCATAATTTCTGGTAATTTTGGGCTTAAATAATGTAGTTAAATTGCCTCCGCAGGGCCTACGGAAGTGGAAAAGAAGACAATCCTATGTGTGATGTGCCAGGGTTTGAAAACTGCCGGATGAAATTGCTGAGGCATGTTTCTTTTGTGGATTGCCCGGTAAGGCATTTCCAATTTCAGGGCCTATATGATATTTGCAAATGTGACATAGGGATTCATTTCCTTATCTCTGCCTAGTTGTAATAGCTTTTTTTAAACACCAGGAGCTATGATTTATGTAATTGCTTTTCTTTGCTCACAATTTTTCACATGGCATGGAATTTTCATGTTTTCATGGGTATTGTCTAGATAAGTTGAAAAGTTAAAGAGGCCACTTATGTTTGTTACCTTACACCTATTTTGTTTCCTTACGCCTATTTAATAGCAGTAAATTTTCCCGATACCTGTAGGGTCATGATATTCTCATGGCTACAATGCTTAATGGAGCAGCAATCATGGATGGGGCATTGCTACTCATAGCAGCTAATGAGAGCTGCCCGCAACCACAAACCTCTGAACATCTAGCTGCTGTAGAAATTATGCGCCTACAACATATAATAATTCTTCAAAATAAGGTTGACCTGATTCAGGAAAACGTGGCTATTAATCAGCATGAAGCTATTCAGAAGTTTATACAAGTAAGTTTTCAATGAAGCAGATTATGCTATATAAGTGAATTAAATCGCATTAACTTACATCTGCCAATTTTTGTTATCTGCCAGGGAACAGTTGCCGATGGTGCACCTGTAGTACCTATTTCAGCTCAGTTGAAGTATAATATTGATGTTGTGTGTGAATATATCGTTAAGAAGATCCCAATTCCTGAAAGAAACTTTGTCTCTCCACCTAATATGATTGTAATTCGGTCATTTGATGTCAATAAGCCTGGGTTTGAGGTTGATGAGATAAAAGGAGGTGTAGCTGGTGGAAGTATTCTCAGGGTAAGTCTCTTGGATATATAATATGCTTAATGTTGTACGTCTTCTGATCCTATTTTGTCCACTTTTTTATTTTTCCAATTAATTTTTGGGACTAATTTGTGTCATTCTCAATTAATTTTTATACAAAATGATGGGACTCGTTTTCATCCATTTCTAATGGTCATTGTGCGCTTCCTATGCTAAATATATGGATATTTGTAAATGAGAGATAATGGCATACTAAGTTAATCTCTCCTCTCTTCATAGATAAACTCTTCTCCATACATGTGATCTTCTAGATACCATTTAAAAATGTGTTCTGGTGTAATACCAAGCTTGAATAATGGAATATTCTTTTTGTTTATCTTCACGCCGAGTCAGTGAAGATAATTTACCAAGATGTATGAGGTCAAAGCCATAGGATTTGTGGACGCGTAAAAATCAGTTGCATGACATGTGTTTGTCAAATTCAATCTGATTATATGTTCATTGCAGGGTGTTTTGAAAGTAAATCAATTCATTGAAGTTCGACCTGGAATAGTTGTTAAAGATGAAAGTGGGAATATCAGATGCACTCCTATATACTCGAGAATAGTTTCATTGTACGCTGAGCAGAATGAGCTTCAATTTGCTGTGCCAGGAGGTTTGATTGGTGTTGGCACAACCATGGATCCCACTTTGACCCGTGCTGACAGATTGGTGGGTCAAGTTCTTGGTGAAGTTGGATCACTGCCTGAGGTCTATGTTGAACTTGAGGTAGGTGGCATTAACTAGTTCGTCTGCAATGCAGGCATTGAATATTGGGTTGTCAATCTATTTGCTGAAATTTTGAGGCACAGGGATTTTTTTTTTTTGCTTTTTATTATAAATTTGTCATTGAGATGTCACGGTTGCTTGCTATTAGGTAGGGGTTAGAATGTTTTGGATATGGATTGCATTCAGAACATTTTACCTATTATGTACATCTTTTTAATCTCCAAAAAAGTTTGGAAAAAAAATTCCCGTTGTCTGGTCTTTTATTTCATGTATGACAAGTTTTCTCTTCCCACTGTTCTCCGCAGAAAAGCATTGTTTGGGGCTTAGTTCTATTTGCTTTGATCATGCAGGTAAACTTCTTCTTGCTTCGTCGCTTGCTCGGTGTCCGGACAAAAGGAACTGAGAGACAGGGAAAGGTATCAAAGTTGACCAAAGCAGAGATCCTTATGTTGAACATAGGATCAATGTCAACTGGGGCCAGAGTTATTGCCGTAAAGAATGATTTGGTGAAGTTGCAACTCACTTCCCCTGTGTGCACTAGCAGGGGGGAGAAGATCGCTCTGAGTCGTCGTGTCGAGAAGCATTGGCGTCTGATTGGCTGGGGCCAAATCCAAGCTGGAACCACCCTAGATGTCCCATCTTCACCTCTTCTGAATTAATCTGAGTGACTAGAGAATAGAGACAGCGAGGATCACAGCAAGAAACGCCTTATATAAATTCTGAGAGTTCATAGATGTGGGAAGGTAGACAATTGTTGGGAACCATTTTTTTGAAGTGGAGAAGAAAACTTTTGCGCTGAGTTGTTTTTTCTTCTCTTTTTCCTCTGTATTTTTTTCCTCCTCCCTTTTTTACCTATTGATGAATTTGTATCTTGTGCCGATTTAGACTGGGAGCAATTCAACACAGTATTTTTTTTCCCCTCAGGGACTCCCTGGCCAATAATCAGTTTGTTGCTTCAATTGGGTTTGACAGGATGCTGTGTGGTGCTGGTTCAATATTATACATTATTCAAGCTACGGTTTTCAAAAGCTGTGTAGTGTAATTGTGTTTATGACTGCCGGGTTGATTTTTTTTTTAACCAAATATATAATTTACAAAATCCTGCTGTGTAGAATTGGATTGTTGTGGCTTTAGGAGGCTACTAGAGTGATATTTTGTCGGTCATGCTGTCTTCATCTAGCATTTTGGGTTAAATACATTGAGGTGTTTGGAGGGAAGAATTTATATTTGGATTTTAGATTTTAAAGTTTGGTCAAACTAAGAAACGAGTTGAATCTGATATGGAATTCTTGTGTCCTGGTTGGCAAGTGGAATGTAATCCCGGCTTGTCCCTTTTCAACAGGAAGGTGAAGGTCTCATTTCTATGAAATAGTGCACTATATAAGCTGAGAACATTTTTGTTGGACGTGTATGATGATTATGCAATCTATATAATCAGCCCCATCTAATTGATATAAGGTTTGCTGTTGCACTTCTTTTGGTGCAAAATATAAACAGTTTCTTTAAAAAATCTGTATACCAATAAAGAAAGTAGTCATTCTCATAATATATATATATATATATATATTTTTGTGGGGCTTTTAGCAAATTTAGCTAACATTATATGGTTAAATAAAACTAATAACTCACTTTTTTTTAAATTAAGATAATGATCGTTTCTTAATTTATCTTTAATAAAAAAGACAAAATTATCCTTAAACATCACAATATCATGATTCTCCTTTTTCACACTAGTTTTGCTTTCATCTTCTCGAAAATGTGGAGACAACATTGCACTCTTAGTCACGATAGAGAAGAAACTAATAGTAGACAATGAAATAGTTGACACCAATGGATAAATGAAGTTAGAAATTTATCCTAGAGACTACAAGAACGTGAGGTGAGGTAGATTAAAAGCTACAGATTCAGGTTGAAAAATCATGAATGCAAGGTGAGGAAGTTTGAAATTACAACTTCTATACAAAGCCACACTAAACTGCAAATTCAGGGTGAGGAAGTTCAGTCAAACTCTGTTACAAGAGCCAGAGTTCAAGCGAGGGTTTTCTAAAATTTTGTTTGACCTGTTTTGGAAAAATAATTATGTATTTTTCATGTTACTAATTTGCGATACTACATCATTAATATACGACTGTACATCAATTCTAAACAAGTTCATATTTGATTGTCTGATTATGTTGATTTGCGATAGTATATCAATGATATATTATTATATATCACTCATATATAAGTCATATCAGTAAAAACTTATCGATTTATTTATCATTGATTTACAGTCGTATATCAATGATATAGTATCGCAGATCAGTAATGGAGCATTCTTTTTTATTGTTTAATATTCTCTTCGTAATATTTGAAAAAAACAGAGAGAGACAGAGAGAGAGAAGAGAGAGAAGAAAAGCTCTATGATAAAAATGGTGATCCAGAAAAATAGATCAAAAATTTGGATGAAGAAAACCACTGTACAAGAGATAAATATGGTGATTCAAGAAAATCATATCCAAAAATCTAATGAAAAAAATATTCAGAGATGATAAATTAGAGAGGGAGCACGCACAATTTGATAATAAAAATGAGAGATCTAATCATTAAAGATTAGTTAAATCAAATTTTTATTTTAATAATAAATATATTGTGAGGGTAAAAAAGGAAAACATATCTAATTAATTTTATGAATGGGCTATATTTCAAAATATTTAAAAACCTCATCCATAATTTATGAGAGTTATATTTTTTGAGGCCATTGAGCTAATTTTCTCATATATATATATATATTGGTTTTCTTTTTTATTTTTAGTTTCAATTACTAATGCATTTTATGAGTGTGAGATATTTTTTTTTTGAATAAATTAAAAGAGGTACAGACGTCCAACAAAGGATACAGAGAAATTAGGTTACAACATGAGACCAATTTTTTTTGTCATCCATCACTTTTTAGCAAAAATAAGGTAGTTGATAAAAAATATAAAAACTATTGACATAATCTAAAACATTCTGAGCAAGTGAATTGGCAAAGAAATTAGCTTCTCAGATACATGAAATTCAAAGTGTTAAACAATTCCTCACACACTCAATAGTGTCTCTAAACGGGTGATGACTTGCATCAGTCTCGATAATCAAATTAATTGCCTCAGCACAGTCCTTGAACACATGAACTCTTGGAATATTCAAATGATAGCAAAGTTCACAGGCTTGGATTATTCCAATAATTTTAGAAATAGTAGAAGGAAGATGACCAACATTACAGTGAAATCCCGCAACCCACTCAACATGGCCATCACGAAGCACACCTCCACACTTGGAAATGCAATCTTTATAAGAAACATCAATGTCTAAGCATAAATTATTAGCAGTAGGCCAACACCATTGATAATGATTCTGCCGAGAGGAGTCACCCATAGAAACAGAATTGTTGAATAAGCACCAAACACTCTTAGCTTTATATAACATTCCCTCTTTCGAACTCTCTCACCATCTTCCTCAGAGAAAACACCTTTGCATCTTGCACACCAAGCATTCTGGCAAACATAGTCAAAAAGAGCCTCCCAATGTACCTGCTCAGTGAAATCACGATCCACATAATGTTTCATATTTCATAGGATCCAATCCCCAGAGTGAGAGATAAATTTATACAAAAATCTATGTTAATAAATACAAGAGGTAAAATAATAATTTTTTTACTGTTTATATTTTGAACCAATATTAGTTAGGAAAAAATACTTATATTTTGGATCAGAGAGAATATATGATAGTTACATATATAGGCTCCTCACTCTAACTCACAACCTTAGTTCAATCTCCCCTTTGTTCACACGAAAGATTGTGTGCGTTTAGATAGCTTTTAGAATCAATTTTAAAGGTAAAAATCATGATTTTATAAAAGTACATTTAAGCATTCTTATCATGAAGATTCTCTCCCTCGCATTCCTCTCCTTCCCGCTGGAGATTGTTCCTGTGACGATGGATTAGCTTCTCTTTTCTCTTTCTGCAATTTTGTGGCTACGTACCATCCCCTTATGTTCCCATATTTCTATAGTATATTCATGTAGCTTAGTAGTTTTTCCCCGTTCATTATCTATTCTTGAAACTATCATTTGGATTGGGATTTTCTTTAAGATAATTTAGTTTTGTTTTATTATTTGGATAAATTTTTGAGTACATTACATATCCTTGTCCAGCAAAAAGTAGAAAGTTCTTTACCATTTATTTCATACGTATATTTGGTTAAGGATATAGCAATTGATGTGAAGACAAAATTACATCATTGGATCGGTTTAATTTTCTTCCGTCTGAACCGATTTCCTTTTATCTTAACGTCCATAATCCATCGTTGTCTTATTGACAATAAAAAAAACCACACAAAACAAAATAATCCTTTTCCGGTGGCTTCGATGACATTGGGCTTCACCTGCGGAGTTTTCGAACTAAATGAACACGTGTCCCAACTTGAAAGCCTGAGCATGGGGTCCACCACCTTATGCTAACCAAATCAGATCAAATTCCAACATTGTCAGACTCTAAATCAGTAACAATCCACCCTTTTGTAGGCCATATCTGGAACTAATTCATGTTTTAATTTGTTTGTATCATTGGTTTACGTATCCTTTGCTTCTACTTGTACTCATGCCAGGTTTGTACTTACGCATGACACACATGAGATGAGACCTTGTGTTAATTAATTCTCCTTATTAGATAGTATACTTATTCTAATAAAGAAAAAAAATTTCTACACAAACCAACAACAAAAAGGTTCCAGCTGTACTATGTCACCGTCCAAAACGGCAAAACCTGCCACACTGTTTCCTTCTTAATCTATTTGCCTGCTAATCGCATCCCATTTTCGATCCATAGTAATGAAAAGTTTGACATCTTTTTATCTGTTTTTTTTTAAATTAATAAAACTTTACCTTTAGAAATAAAGAAACTCATTTTCCCGCCTCATTTTGAGGTAATTCGCATCCCATTTAATTTCCAACAGTATATATATATATATTGTATCTCTGGATCTCTTGTCTTCTCATTTGAAATCGGAATGCAAACAAAGGGGTCCTTTGAGATAATTCACAAGCTTCTCCTCTATATATCATTAGATCTATCTCGTAATTATGTCTCTCTTGCTCCCTCTAACAGACTATTTTCATATATATATATATATATATTCACAAACGGAAGAAAAATCAGCAGAAAGCGATCGGTAACTAGAGACTAATAATCGCCAGCCTCATGCATGTCTAGATTTTTCCAAGCAAGTCTCATTCTGTCTTCAATTAAAACCAGAGAATCTGTGAGAGCCAGTGCGACGGAGACACCTGTACGTGCTTTGGACATATGCCCCATGAATATCTCCTGCTTGATGCTGCTGCATGAGGAAAGACAATTATTCAGACATTGAAAAGAGACCGCGGAATTCAAAGGTCGAGAGAAACAATGACTGAACACTACTGTTTTTCCAGTGTTACGAATGAGAAACATGATTGTTGGAAATTGAAGGCACGTAGATCTTTGTAATAATGTCGTCTCCTATTTGTGCCCTTTGATTTAATGTGAATTCAAACTGTTAGCCCATGTCTATTATATTAATACTGTTTTGCATGGTGGAAAATTATAGTTAGAGCATGAACAAGCAATTGGTGAACGCATGAATGAATTTATACAAACAAGAAATAAGAAGGAAGACGATTATACATTATATCTGGTATTGAAGGTTGAGATATGCATTTTACGAATCATTTTCTATCTCTTGGTAAAAAGGATATCAATTACTGATTATTAGTTTATTTGATCAATATAATTTGTTTTTGTATTTCATAAAAGCTTTTTATTATATCTAGTATGTCATCATCTAAAATTACAAATAGTCTTCCAAAACGACTTTGTTCTATTATTTGTCTCAATATATATCTGTTGCAACCCATTGTAATTGCTCTTGTATTTCCAAATAATAGTGATCATGATCTTAATCCGAGGAATATACTCTAGTTCCTTTACATAGCGTCGAGCTTAATTGGATGAATGAAATACCCATCCAGTCCTTTTTATAAATAAACCATGTTAACTACTTTCCTGAAATTAAGGAAATTAGTTAAATGTTAAATATTTTTACAACTTTAAAAAATTACCCTTAATCAAATTAAAGCCATTATTTGAGCTAAGACTGAAAGAGATAAGCGTTATTGATATTTCAGTAAATTTTGTTAGGTGTCTTGTATTAAAGATTAATGAGTATTCTCTCTGGACCATAACATAAACAATGATAACTATTTTGCGGCTCTAAAAAAAAAAGTTAAATAAGACATTAATCTCTCAAAAAAATTTATATCTTTTCAATGATATCCTCGTTAAACATTTATATAAATATTTTAATAATAACAATTAAAATTTTAATACATTATTTTTTAAAATAGAGTACTAAATAAAATAAGAGTATGGTTCAAACAATAATTACAAAAATTATCTAATATCATATATTTCATACTAAGTAAAGTTTTTAAGAATATCTTATATTATAATCCAGAAAAAAGTAAAATCTATACTCCCATCTTCCCACGTGACACCCTCTCCTGGACAGGACCTTTATTTTGGCCCAAATCTTTCCGATCTTAAGCAAATTCAGCCTCTCTCTTTGCCTCACATTGCAAATTTCATCATTGGAGGCCCATGAATAGTATTCTTCCCAGGAGGTAATATTCCTATACACATATATTTTTTCGACGTCACTGTACTGTGATATGACTGCACCCTGCGTTGTATCTTCAATAACATCGATGCCTTGTTTTCCTTTTTTTTTTTTTTACCTGTCTGATCGAGTTTCATTGCTGTTATGGCTTCGGCTGGCTAGAAATTTTGAAGGACATTACGGTTGAAGTGATGCAAAAACTGAATTATGGAGAAGAGAGCCTGAGTTCTCTCTCATTTTTGCGTCATTTATCTGGGGTAATCTGTTTCTTATAATTGACGTCATATTGTCGTAACAGTTCTAAAGTCTAAACCAACTCACAAGTTAACGCCATATAATCAAAATTCGCCAAACGACGACTTTTCTTGTTTCTGTCGTCGAGGAGCGCGATTTTCCCCAATGTAAGGTTGACATCTGCAATGGCCGGAATTGGATTTTATCGAAAAAACAACCGCCCTCTCATCCACTTTCGTTTCAATGCTCTGGACGGCCAGCCGGCGTTTCTAATGAGTACAAAGCTTGAGAAAGCTGCAGATTAAACATGAACCCCAAAAAGCGATTCAAGTTTCAGAAATACCCACATGTTGCTATTTGTTTTTCCTGTCCTGTTAATATGTATCTTTAGGCCTAAAACCAGAGAAACTAAAGATGTGTTCGCCAGCTTCAGCGGCGACACCCGTTCTGGCTTTACGAGCCATCTTGAAGAATCTTTTACCAGGAACGATATCACAGCCTTCTTAGACGACCAAATTGAGAAAGGTGCTGATACGTCTCCTACACTTTTACGAGAAATCAAGAGGTCCAAGATCTCAGTCATCATTTTCTTTCAAGACTACGCCACTTCAGAGTGATGCTTAGAAGAACTGGTAAATATAATGGAGCCCAAGAGAAAAAGAAAACAGATTGTGATACCCATTTTCTATAGGGTGAGGCCCAGAGAGGTGCGAGAGCAATCTGGGATTTACGAAGCTGCTTTTGAAGAACATGAACGATGTTATCGGCGTCGGAGAGTGCAAAGGTGGCGGAATGCCATGACAGAAGCAGCCAAAGTCTCTGGCTGGGATAGCTCCGCTTACGGGTATACATACGCATGAATAGTGATTCACTTCTCTTTTCGTTTCCTCCATATATATATATTTTTTTCAAGTCGAGAACTTCCACTGATCAAGATTTTTCATTAATTAGCACGAGTTTTTACGCCATATATAGTTAATTAACGCAGGCAACATGCTACTTTCCGGTCTTAAAACTTAGGAGATAGTTGGGGATTTGTTTACATGTGTTCTAAATATAAGATGTCAATCCATTTTCACTTGAGACATGTAAGGCGGTACTGTCAAGACTTTTTTTTTTTTTTTAATTACTCATCTCCTATTCACTGTCAAGACTTTTGATCATCTACATACCAATGACATTGGCGTGCATCTGCAATCTAACTTCAAAATAGTGTTCCATTAATTTTTCCAATAATTCCTATTATGAATTTTGGTCTTGAACAAGGTGGTGTTCCAGTTTGCTTTGAATTTGGTTTGTTGGAACGGTCTTGATCTTCCTACAGACTTAGTAGCTTTTCAAGTTATTTTAAGGGGAAATAATTTTTACTAATTTGAACTTTGAAGACAAGATTCATTTTAATGAGGGAGATAATGTCATGAATAGGCCTGATGATGTGTTTTATATATTATTTGAGTAAGTTTTTGTAGTTTTTTCCCTTTCATTATCTGTTCTGAAAACTATCATTTGGATTGGAATTTTGATTAAGAAAGAGTTAAGTTGTGTTTTATATATTATTTGAGTAAATTTTTGAGCACATTACATATACCTAGTCAAACGAAAAGTTGAAAGTTTTTATGGTGTACAAATAATTGATGCTTGGAAAGATAGTTCTAACTTCTGAGCAAGATTATTTCCTTTCTAAGAGCTTGACAAACATTTCTGAGCAAGACTTGCATTTATAGGAGGGAGTCAGAGCTTGAAAAGGATATAGCAAATGGTGTGGAGACAAAACTTGAATCAATTAGCCCACGTAGCGGGAGAGAGAGCAGCCAAATCGCAACACTAGAATAGGCTGCGTGTGTGCGTGGGTGCATAGCTTCAGTCTCAGGATCATTTTGACAAGCTTCATTGCACCCAAACCGAAAATTATAGTTTCTAAAACTTACTCTTCAATTCAAATGAAGCTATATCTTTGTACCATAAGGAACATTCTCAACCTTACGCTGAAACTTGAAAAAGCTGTATAAGTAAAAATTTCAGCCCATGTCAATTTTTGTACAGTAACTCATGTCAATTTTGGCCAATGTAATGTCTTCTTTTTCTTTTCATCTTTTTTCTATTTTTTTGAATGCCTTCTTTTTAATTATTTTTCTTCAACCATTCATTTTACATTATTGTTATTGAAAAATCTTGTTGAATCAAACTGAATGGCTATATATGCATGATACAGACACACATAACAAACGCACTCACATATCCTTACCACATGTATATATAATATTTTAAAATACGAGAAGAACTAGCCGACACATGGCGTAACTCCCAACGAGAAGGCTGGAGCTATTTAAATTCTAGGTTTTGAGTTTGAATATGATAAATTAAATGAAAAAACATTTTTTAGAAAAGTTATTGCAATTAGAACTAATAAGGCTTACATTTTATCTTTGTAGTATTAACTATCATATAATTATATATAAAAAAATACATGAAGGATCGATTTTTCTTTTTCATTTTTTTTAAATGGGCAAATTAAACGGGTCAACGGAACTAAAGTTTACTCGATGTGGAACTTTGCGCAAGTTGGCAAGTGGTATTCATTAGTTGGCAAGTGGAATTTAACGCCCACTTGGGCATTTTTCATCTGCCTATTCCCATAAAATTTCCTGGGTCAAATTTGATGGCTATATTTTAATCAAATATCCTCCTTCAAACTCCGTTATTATATTCTTTTCACATATAAAATTTTATTGAATTATTTTTTTTAGAAAAATCATAAGGTACCATTCGATGACAAGGCAGATCATTGAGAGTTTCAGTTTTACAATAAACTAAAATGAATTTCATTTGAGAAAAAAAAGTTTCTGCCATGCCCCTCACAATGAGGAGCACCCATGCATGCATCTGCAGATTGGTCTCATTTCATTTGGGATGCAATGGATTTCTCATCAATTTAAAAGTGTTTGATAGGATTCAGAGGAAGAAACAGTTGATCAGTTTTTAAAGATGTTTTATTTTAAGGAAGAAGCACCCATGTTTTATTTTTAAAGATGTTTTTAAATTAAAGAACATAAAACATGAAATTGAGATATTAATATAAAATAAATAAAATAAAATAAACTTAAAATAAAACATAAAATAAATAAAGTTAAAGGATAAAAGGATAAAAGTATTTTAATGTCACTAATTTCTTTCGTTTATTAAAAAAGTATTTTAACTTTAACCGCGTTTTACTAATTCAGGTTAGCGTAAACAGTAAGTATTGTCGTCACTTAATTAGTGGGTTTAAATACTCGCCTTTTTAAGTATGTAGCAGCCCTAGCTTGGTGCTATATGCAAGGGAGAACAACGACTTTCAGATCAGTCTCAAACCTTGTAGAAGATCAGTTAGACGGCACAATCCCATTCTGTAGTCCAATATAACCAAGACGTTCACAGAAAAACAAGTTGCTATGGCATCAATGAATCGCTCGTCGTCCTCAAGTGGTAACGGTAATGTTCCTCCGGAGAAGCACGAAGTGTTCATCAGCTTCAGAGGAGAAGACACTCGCAAGGGCTTCACGAGCCATCTCAACGCTGCTTTCAGGAGGAACGACATCAGAACCTACATGGACTACAACCTCGAGAGAGGAGACGAAATATCTACCACTCTCCTCGAAGCCATTGAGGATGCTCAGCTCTCTGTTATTGTTTTCTCCAAGAACTACGCTAATTCCAAGTGGTGTCTGGACGAGCTCCTCAAGATCCTTGAATGCAAGAGATCCAGAGGCCAGGTAGTGTTGCCGGTCTTCTACGACATCGATCCCTCCTTCGTGCGTAACCAGATAGCAAGTTATGCAGAAGCATTTGAGAAACATGAGCAGAGATTTAGGCATGACTTGACCAAGGTCCAAAAATGGAGAGACGCTCTGACAGAAGCCGCTAGTTATTCTGGTTGGGATTGTACCATCAACAGGTAACGCGGTTTCCATAATTATAATTTAAAGAGAGTACTGGTTTGTGTTTAGAGACAGTGTGTTTCTTTGCAGGATGGAATCAGAACTGGTGGAGGAAATAGTGAAGGATGTGTTGGAGAAACTGAACAGAGTGTATGTAGGAGACCTGGATGAGCAGATCGCCAAGTATGAACAGCTTGCACAGCTCCAGAACGAGTATGCACGCAAATTACCCAGTATTCAAAACTTTCAGCAGGTTGAAATCACAAAGCAACGCATCGTTCAGCTTCAGATGGAGAGAAATCTTCGCATGCTTCGTCTCACTCCTGACATGGTTTCTGAAATCCAACAATCATCTCCACCCAATAATTATCGTTTTTTTTAGCTCGATCTCTCCCGTGATGAAATGTCAAGATTGTTATAATAGAATTCAGGTTTATAAGCTTTTGTTTTGTTCTATTGTTTAAACGGATACATTTGTGTACTGTTGACTACTTCTATATGGCTTCAGCATCAATTTCATTTGATGCATTTTTAATTCATCTCCTACCATAGTTACGCTGTCGTTGGTTCTTTCAAATGTATTTTATTAAGTTGCGTATATTTATAACTCGTATATATCTCACGCTCGAAAGTTCATCTTCAAGCGGACCAGCTTCATTTTTTAAAATAATCAATTTTTGGAGTGTTTTCAAACGAATCGGCGGATTTATTAATGGGATTGCTTGATTTTCAGCACTTCTGTTCTTTGTGATGAAAGCAATGCAATAAAACAATGAAGTAGCCAGAGATTGATTGAGGTTATTTTAAATGGGATGAATATTACCGATGCATAACGGGGAAAATAGAGATGTTATTTACAGGTGTTACCAAATTCATAAAAATAAACCTGAGAATATTTTAGAAATTTTAAAATTAAATGTAAAAATAACGATAATTTTAATATTATAATAGTTAAAATAAAATATTCTTAATTAATCTTCAAGCCTCTAAAATATTCAATTATTCTTTTTCATGTTTCCATCACTTACTCCCCTTTTTTTCACATATATATCCTTGAATTGCATATAATTTATTATATTTAAGGTTTTTTTTAAGGGGTGATGGTAGATAGAGTTGGTTTCTCTCCACTACTTTCCTCCCAATTATCTTTTCATTATAAATCTGAAGTCAAAATAGTAAATCTGAATTGTTTAAATTAAATTTATATTTTAAAAATTATTAAATTTAAATAATTAAATTCAAGTTAACGGTCGAGTGGTCTTCCCTTTACTCTCTTAGAAAGGCCAAATCTGACAGTACTCAACACCCTATCGTCCATTGTCTCTATTTAATTGAGAGACTTTAATGTTCACATTTTTAGAAATAATTAAATAGCAATGTGGGAGTATAAACTAATTTTATCTGCATGTTACTCCCTTCATTCCAAATTATAAAATATTTTTAGATAAAATCTCATATACCAATAAATTTCATTAAATACACTTAACAACATTATCTTTTCAAAATAAAAATATAAAATTTTTAAAATACCCATCGTTTAATATATTGAAAAGAAAGTGATAAAAATTAATCATAAAGAGAGAAAAGGTAATATTAAAATTGATGCATTTAATAAAATTTTAATTTACTTAAAATGTCTTATATTTTGGGATAAATAAATTTCTTTAAAAGTATCCTATAATTTGAGATGGAGGGAGTATAAATTTATAATCCAATTTAAGGTGAAAGGTAAATTTAACCAGGTTTCAAATTCATAACCCTTTCAAGATCAGTGGCAGGCTAACAATAATTAGCGCGAGAAAGCATAATAATCAACACATAGTTACATTAAATCATGGTTCATCTGCCCATATATGTATTGTCAACCTATTTTATTGCGAAAATTAATATCCACACAAACATACCAAGACTAAATATAGGGATATGTTTTCTTATTATTGTTAAGAGACGTAAATTGCTAGTCCTTTTCACTCATCTTAATTATTCACATTTTCCTTTTTTTTTTTTGAAATCCTTCAAGCTGCAAAGGTGTCTGCTTTTCAAGGTCTTCTTTTTTGTTTGACCAAAATCTCCACTGTCCCTGAAAAATATGGATCAGTCAAACTCGACGGCTATGAGTATAAGGGGGAGAGACCAACTAGCTCGAATCATTGAGCGTATGGTAAGTTGGATCGTTATTGTTTATCATTATATTAAATAAATTTTTGTTGTCCATGAAAATTCCCTACTAATCAGACCTAACACTTACTTGAACTACCAATTATTTTTAGATTTTTTTTTGGGCCACATCAATTGTCCCTAGAATATATTCCCTCTATTTCAATATACAAGTTTTTTTGGAAATTTTTTTGTTTCATTTTATATATCCTTTCAAAAATAAAACATAGAATTGTATAAAAAAATTTCCTATTATTTACTTATTTTACTCAAACAATTTTGATTTATTCTACACAATAATTAGGGACAAGTTTGTCAATATTTTAATATATTAATTAATTAATTGTGTTTCTTGATCTATATGCTAAAATCTTAACAGACTTAAATTTTCATTTATTTTCTACACAATAATTAGGGGCAAGTTTGTCAATGTAGTCAATATTAACTAACATGGATTCCTCCGGCTTCGCTGAGACTCTTCTATACGTGTTGGCAGAAAACAAAGAATTGTATATGAGTTTCAATCATTATATAGCTAATATAATTTAAGTTATTAATTTGTTTCCATTTCACTTCTCAGCGGGTCATTTGACAACCTATACACATGTGCACGCGCTTGTAAATAGAAGAATTTTTTTGGCCGAAGTAAATGGTAGAAATTTATAGAAAACCTATTTGCACCCAAATTATAAATTTTAAGACTCAAGCTTCACTCAATTTAATCGATCTTAAAATAATTAAAAATAAATATTTATAAAACCTTAGCTATTAAGTTAAAATTGGATCTAGGCCATTATTTTCATACTCCACCTATAATGCTTGAATTATGAAAGTTGGAAAAGTAATCATGATTGAAGAAGTGCTTTCTAAATTCAAGGAAAATAACGATTATGGAGTTTAGACACAAAGTCAGGACCATTTATAAATAGATGAGCCCTCTCTCATCATCAGCATCAATAAACTACTAGTCAAATTCTCAAATTCCAAGT